GTTTCACAAAAATTCGATTAAAATCAGTAAATATTTTTCACTGGGATCAACAGGAAATTGTTGTTTATTTCGCTATTTAATGATATTATTTTTAATAGCAATAATCAGTAGCTTTGTTACAATTTTGACATGAGTATAGTAGATATTATATTCACGAAGAATATACTTAATTGATTTGATAGTAGATCGATGATATATTCGACGTGTCATAAAATAATGATAACATTGTGCTAAAAAAACATTTGTTCGTTTCGAATTTCGCTGTCTTCGAGCTTCAGTTGATCGTCTTTGATGACATGATAGACGTTGTATTGGTAAATATTACACATGATCTACATCGTCATCAACCACATTATGGTTGTTGACACTTAAGAGAGGGTCCACGACAGCATCGAGGATACGAGGCACTCGGTAAAATTTTTTTTTTTCGATTTTTTTTGCTCATTCGAAACTTCAATGTCTAAAACTACTAACCCCAAAATTTTATGTTCTAATACCCTTCCTATGAAAAGTTAGTCAATACCAACTTTTGGCACTATCGAGGCTTTTTGTAAAAAAATAAGAAAAAAAATTCTATAAAAGATGTACTGGCTTCCGTTTCAGCAAATCATTGAAATTTTTCGTGGTATATATGACAAGATAGAGAATTGAAAACTGAATAAAATGAGCTACATTGATATAATATAATGGCTAACAATTTAAGTTTTATAGAGCAAATATGAGTCAAGGGGTGGTATTTCTGAACAGTCCAAATAAACGGTATAATTCGTGTTGTGCTTCAGAATTCAGAGACCCCCAGAGTGAATTTTATATATGTTGTACAGCTTTTTATTCTCTACAAAATGGTAAAAAAATATTTGAAAAAAGTTTCCGCTTGATGCGAAAAACGGTTTATACTGTCTAATTTTTCATGAGTTTTGATGGTTTTTCAAAGAAAAATAAAGATCTTTAGCGATTTTTTTTGTCATAGAATACTACTAGAAGAAAACAAATATGATATTCGGAGTCAGCGTGAAAAACTGCATCCAACCATATATGTTTCGCCGAAAATTTTTTCCTGACCAAAATTGACCTGTGGTCCCCCACAGCCAAGGGGGAAACATCGTACTTTTGTACTTTACGCACTTTACGTACTTTAATGTATTTTATTGTACTTTAATGTACTTTAAAGTACTTTATTGTACTTTAATGTACTTTAAAGTACTTTATTGTACTTTAAGATACTTTAAAGTACTTTAAGGTACCTTAAAGTACTTCAACGTACTTTAGTGTACTTTACTGTATTTTAAAGGCAATTTAGTGTGCTTATTAATAACATTGTTTTTTATTGATCCTTCAGTTTTTCATTTACATTGAGTTTCGGGTATATCAAAGCTGCAACAATCATATACAAATGTTGTAATTAGTCTTTAATGGCTCTCTGTGAAGTTATTTAGTTGTATAACCTACAGTTTATATCTGAAGATGTTGCTTTATTTACAACTTTCGTGTATAACATTTTCATAATAAATAAATACGCCAAAATAAAATAATCTTAATAATAAAAACACACAAAACAGCTTTATAAGAAACAGTTTATTTTATTTTAATATACAAATAAAATTTTGCAAAACTACCTATAAAAAATTTTTCAAACCTACTGAAACTAATGTTCTTTTTTCTGTTTCAACTTATTTTGTGAACTTTGTGAATCAATACGCCTTTTGTTATCGACAGTAGGTGATAATATTGATGTTGAATTTGTGACCACATATTGTTGACTATGTGTGTGTTCTTGTTCCTTTTTTTTTCAATGTATTCATATGTGAACATTTGGTATCCTTCAAATGTTTTTAATAATTGGATAACTGAAATTTTTCAGCATTTTTTCCTAAATTAATATTAGAACCACATTTGCATTTAACGCTAACTTCCAAAAAATTATTTATATTCGAAAAAATAAAAGTAAAGTCAGTATCTTCTTTCAATTCAAGTTCATTAAATTGAAGGTTGGCTTTATTATCAAGACACCATAGTTTAATACAGTTTAACAAATATTGACGATGTTCATCAATGGTTAATGCCGAATAAGAACTTGTCAATAATGATGGTGGTGAAATTAACATTGAAGAAGAAATTGAAAATGATTGTGTAGACGTTGTATTGCCCAGCGTTACAGTTTGTTGCTTACTGTTTTGTTTAGTTCTTTTCATATCTTGTTCAATTTTTTTTAACAATAAATCTTTTAAACATTTAAAACTGTTTTCAACACGAGGTTTTACTATCAATTGATTGTTTTTTAATTTAATACATATTTCTCGGCTCAATTGTTCCAAAACTTCATCTTCAATATCAAGACTAAAAATGGAACATGGATTTTCAGTTAAAAGAAAACATGGTACACTATTAATGTGCAGATATGAAAGCAAGTGAGCATGTAATTTTCCGAGAAACATTTCAACAAAATTATAAAAATCTTGATCTGTGTATGACAAAACGTCATTTGGTAATCGACTGGTATTAAGATAAAAATTTGTGACAAACATAATGACAAAAATTTTATTTGCTAATGAAAATTTAGACAAAACGGTTTGATTGTAACAAAAAGAATTTGAATTGCGCCAGAATCTTTATTATCTGAAAAGAAACAGTATTTGCTCAAGAAGTTAGCCAACACGAGAAAAATTGTCACTTTCGATTTCTTGGAAAAGTGCGACATCTAAGTCGTGAACATGAGTAGTATAAAAAAGCATTTTTGTGAAGAACAATCTAAATATTGTGCATTCGTTCAGAATAACTAATTGAATACTGTTTAGATTTTCCCATAGAGTAAAGGACATATTTTATATTTATATTTAGCATTTCTTGTGAACAAGCTGTCAAAGGTTCAAAGATAAGCTCAAAAGGGATATTCGCTGATAGCACAAAATAGGAAGGAGATTTCTAATATATTCCAACTAGGGTGTGTAATAAAACTAGGTGTACATAAACAAAATGGAACAAGACGGCATCTCGTTCATTTCACTTGTTCCATGTGAGAATCTATCAAAGTTTTGAGTGCTTCTCAAGAATCCAATTCTTTTTTCAGCGATTTATAGAGAAAATATCAGCTGCAGTACGGTAAACGTTTGAAAAGGTCCCTGAAATGTTGTGTAAGATGTATTATTCCAACAAACACAGTCAGTCATGTATCGGTTGCACATCATTGAAAAAAAATTTTAAATTAATTTCCAACTTTTACTTCTGTTCATTTTATATAATTGTATACAACATTTGTGCATGAAACAAGAATCAAAATTCAGTTTTATTCAGCTTTGAAAATGATGATTTGTCTTATACTGTATTCAAAGACAAAACATATACTTAAGAAAAATAGTATCGAAGATTGCTTTTTCTTTATCAGGTTTCCAGTAGAAAATAGTCGTACACATTTGATTATCATCTAATTAGAGATATTGCGGGACTAGTCGCGGTTCTGTTTTTGTAAACTGGCATTTGAATAACCCCAAGAGATATAGGCTTACCTTAATGTGACCAGAAGTAAGAACTATATCTTGATATTTCATTGTTTTCGAACGACTCTTTTCCACATATCACATCGATAAAATAAAAAATCAAGCGAGCAGACAAAAATACCCACTCATTGGCTAAAATAGTACAGATAACGAAATTTTAAGAACTTTTTTCATGTCTCACAAAGATATTGCTAAACAATTTTCTCACGGTCAACACCAAGACTATTTATGAAGAATTTTCGGCAATCTGGATGTAAAAAATTTGATTCAGGAATTTCTATTTCTGTTTTGATGGGAGCTGAACATAGAATTGCCGCTAATCAGTTGAGGGTGGGTGGGTGTGGGTGTGCGTGTGGGGTGTGGGTGGGTGGGTGTGGGTGTGGGGTGTGGGTGTGGGGTGTGGGTGTGGGTGTGGGTGTAGGTGTGGGTGTAGGTGTGGGTGTGGGTGTGAATCTAGGTTCTTCTTCAAATACACCCACACCCACCCACACCCACACCCACACCCACCACCCGCACCCACACCCACCACCCGCACCCACACACACACCCATACCTACACCTACACTCAACAAAATTGCCGATTCATATGTAATTATACAAGATAATTCTTCTTGTATGAAAGAACAAGACTATAGATGTGGGTATCCACTATCGAAACAACTTGATGAAAGTTACATTTCTCCTTTTCTTTGTTTATATTATTAAAAAAGTGTTGCTCTGGCAGGCTAGTGTTGTCATCAACCCGCATAATTTCTTCATCGCAACATGTATTTCATCAAAGTTGATCATCTACCTCTTGGTAAGTTGTAATAAGCAATCTTTCTCGTGGATGTGCGGCGCACGACATCTGCTCTGTCCTTACACATACTATCTAAGAAGAGGTCATTCATGAGCGATGTTGTAATCAGAGAATGAGAGTGCTTAACTGAGAAGGAAAAACGCACGAATATGGAAGAAGAACGAGTCGAAATGCAGTAGTTGACACGTATATCTTTATTGAACGAAAGCAAAAGACAGAACGCAAAAGTGAAATGAGTAAGAACAGGAGAAATGTCGTGCTCTACATGCTGCTGAGAAAAGTTGCTTATTAAAACTTACCAAGAGATAAATTAAAACAGAAACAATGACATCCTTAGATCAATTTGTTGGAAATATTCGACAATTATCAACAGATGGTAAATTTAGTGATTTAGCACAAACATTAACAAATCCAAATATTGATCATCTTAGTAAAAATATTCAACATATTGATTCAATTATTGCTACTTTTACTTTACCTGAACATTCAATGTGTATGTTAGCTGGTTTACATGCAATTACAAAAGCACCAAATATACCTGGTTTTGATTTATTTCTTACACAAGTTGATACATTTATTCAAACATGTTCAGCTGAACAAGTTCATTATTTACCTCAATATCTATGTGAAATATGTCATGTTATTACAGAACGACTTCGAAAAGAAAATCGAGCTCGAGTTGGAATACCAATTATTTATCGAGCTATTGAATTACTTCGTCGTGAACCTGGCCAATTACTTTCTATACATTCTGATCTCTATCAACTTTGTCTTCTTTGTCAATGGTTTGAACCAGCATTAACTTATCTTGATATTGATATAATTGATATTAATCGTGAAAATGGAAAATTTGATGTTAAACATATTTTACTTGCTTATTATTATGGTGGAATGATTTATGCTTGTATAAAACAATTTGATCGTGCTGCAAATTTTCTTGAGAATGTTATTACTGTACCAGCTACAGTAACATCAGCTATTGTTATAGAAGCTTATAAAAAATATGTTCTAGTTAAATTAATATCTGGTTCAATATCAAATAATCAATTACCAACATATACAAGTCGAACAGTTCAACAAGCAATAAAAAGTTTATGTGGTGCACAATATACAGAATTATTTTATATATTTAATAATGGTACATTAACACAATTTGATGAATTTGTTAATCATCATCGAGAACAATATGCACGTGATAGAAATTTAGGTTTAATAAAACAAACACGAAATGCATTTATATGTAATAGTATACAACAATTAACAAAAACATTTTTAACTGTCTCATTAAAAGATCTTGCTAATCGTGTACAACTTCAATCAACAAATGAAGCTGAAAAATATTTAATTGATATGATTGAAAATGGACAAATATTTGCATCAATTAATAAAAAAGATGGTATGGTTATATTTCATGGTTCACCAGAAAAATTTGATGCTAATAATATGTTATCAAAATTACAAGATGAAACAGAAAAACGTATGTTAGCTGAAAAACAATTAAGAGAATTAGAACGACAAATATCATTAAGTAAAACATATATTCAACGTACACAACAATCAAGTCCTTATCATGATCGTCCCAAAGTACTTAGTTAAGACATTGACTTATTTGAAAATTTTCTTTTCTGTTCTTCTTTGTCTTTTAGTCATCGATTTATGATCCAACAAACATATTAAACAATCGAGAAAGAAAACTTAACTTGTAAAAAAAAAACGAAGAACAACTAAAAAAAAAATCTGATCAAATACATGTTGCGATGACGAAAACGTGCGGATTGGTGGCAACACTAACCTGCCAGAGTAACATTCTACAATAATAAAAAGAATAACACGTTTTACGTTACATGTCAGTGCAGTCCGTGGTATTTTGTTGGTGACATGGTTGTGACCAGCAAATCATTAGTATGGAGTACGTGAGTGCCGTCAAATGTAAAAATCTATGGTCCGTAGTTACTTTCATCAAATATCATAATAGGATATGGCGCATGATGTTGCTCAATGGTCAGAAAGTTCTTTTTTGGTGAACGAAGTGCATTGTACAATGATAATATATTGTCACTAGTATATTTGAATGTAAAAGTTTTTCTCAGTATGCTTTATTTTGTACATGATTGAAAAAAAATACTACTAAACACTGTAAGGTCGTAAGCTGCACATCTTTAGTCCTTATCGAAAGATAATGACATTCTGACAGCATATCCGTTCATGAAGTTGGTGATCATAAATTCAATATGGATAGGCATTTCAATACCGACACAATTGATACCTGTCAGTCACGGAGACATTCGACTATTTGAGAAAAAACTTTCACATAATCCTAGACTCCTCTTGTGATAGAAGAAAAGAAAGAACCCAAACAGTAAAAAAGAATCGAATTTCCCCTTTTAAGTTACTTTCATGAAGATATTTGATTCATTGCTGAATCATGTTATATCTGGCAAAAAAGAATAAAACCGAATGAGTCTCATCATAGATCAACCTTGAAAAGGAACAATGTTCTAAGTTTTAAAAACAAAAGTGGCTAGAATTTTTAACAGGGATCCTATAGCAGGGAAAAGACCACAGCAAGGTATAATGAACTCTTGCTTTTATTCAGTATAAGAGCGATTATCATCGGCAATGATGAGAATAATTCGACTATATTGAACAAATTCTATTAATTTCAGTGTGAAAAAACGTAACGTAAAATGCAAAAGTAATGACAAAAAAATGTTGATCCTTATATCTCTTCGATAAAAAGGTCGTGAAAGAGAACTTCTTTTAACTAAACGATAGGGCCTTTTTCTCCTGTTTCGAATCGTATATAACCCACTTTTATATCATGTTTATAAACGAAACGATGCAACAGAAAAAAAGAAGAAGCGTAAGAAGAAAATTTGCACTTTTTTCTATACAAGGACAGCATATAATGTCAATCCTTGTATCTCTTCGATAAATAGGCTTTGAGAAGAATATTTGTTTATGGATTGATAGGAAATTTTCTACTCTTCCGAACAGTGTATGATTCATATATGTCACATATTGATAAGTGAAACAAGAGAGAGAAAAAAGAGAAACACTTATGAAATAAATTGGTTATGTTTATATGAATTCATCAGTGACATCTTGTTGATGATAGTTGATTATAATGAACTGTCGTTTTAAAAGATCTTTTTATTGAGTTCACAAAAGTTAAACTTATTGTTGTCTAACAAGATGTTTTTGACAAGTTCATATAAAGATTATAAACTTCTTATGCAGGTGTTTATCTTTTTCCAGTCTTGTTTCATTTAACCAATGTATGACAAATATAAATGATACACTATTTGAAAGAGGAGAAGATTTTTGCTATCAACTGATTAAAAAAATGTTCTTTCGGAACGTATTTATCGAAGAATAATCAAAGAGAGATAGAGATCAACATTTTTCGCTCTTTTGCTGAATCTTATGAGAAGTGCAGATACTTTTAAGTGTGCTTCTCTTTTCTATTGCATCGTGTTGTTTATGAACGTGTTATAAAAATAAGTTATATATAATTGGAAAGAGAAGAACAAGCTCTATCGTTTGATAAAGAGGAAGTTTTCTTTCAGCACTCTTTGATCGAAGAGAAATAGGAATCGACATTTTGTGCCATTAATTTTGCATCATACGTTATATATGATTGTATTAAACAAAGTAATAAACTCAAGTAAAATAATTTAATTCATAGTGAATGAAGTTAAAAAAGAAATTTTTTTCTAAAGCCTTTAATAAATACGTTAAATGAACTTGTTTCTTTTGAAATAGGAGAAGTTCTGAAAATATGGCAAAAGTTTGCATCAGTGGAACAACGATACGAAAACCATACTGGAATCTTGAGAGTTACTCTTATGATGTGAACCAATCGGCAGATAAAAAAAATTGTTTAATAACTATTGTTCAAGTACTTTGTATGTCTCTTGGTGCAGTATTATTCTATACAGATATCTATGGTTATCTTGCATCGTACAAATGAAAACAAAAGATTCAAACAACAATAGCATGTGAAAATAAAATCGACGTTCTTTTTTGCAACAAGACTGGGTTGGAAAAAAAAGCAAATGATTTGAACTTGGATCCTGTGCAACTTTTAATTGACAAAAAAGTTGTTGGTTTTTCTCCATTTCGTTGATTGACTTGGAAGATAGGGCTTTGCTTTGGAAAAGACTACAAACGATAAGAACATCAATTGAACTGTTGTATGGCGATAGAACTACTAAAGAAAAACAGAAAATAAAAAAAAAAAAACGATATTCTTTTAGCATATACTGAACGTTGTAGAGACGAAAGGATGCAAGTGTTTTTCGGATATTTATTGTTAATTGGAAAATTTAATTTCTAGTTGAATGTGAATATAAGAAAAATGAATCGGGAAACAATATTTTGCATTATAAAAGATGTTAAGGAGTGGTATGGAACGTGGAAGTAAAAAGTAAAGTGAAACAAAGAATGAAAATCAAATATCGTTCACAGAAACGTGGTCATACGAAACGTTTTTTATATTATAACTGAATCTAAATATTATGCTTTTATTGCAAATAATAGTTCCGTTCGATAGTGTATCGTTTAACATAGTTTGAGAGACTTTTGTCGATAGATATCATGCTTGTGATGCAAACCTCTCCATATGGTTTGCAGTGCCGAGACGATCTATGGTACAGGTCCGGGTGAACTCCAGTGATGTAGGCCAATATCCAAAAATCCGTTCGAAAGAGTCTGTTCTCAATGGAACCAGCGCCGACTTTGAAACAAACGAGAACAGATACTACACTTTGATCTTAGCCGAAAAGGTCGAGAAACGATAACTATTTTAATGAAATTAAATCTCCACTATGGTCTTTTGCATACGCATTACTTGCTGCATAGAACAAAAAAAATACATGATGTGTGAGAACAACATAGATATCGTGCCCCATAGGTGCACGAGTAAAGTTACTTCTTACAACTTACCAAGAGATTTTCATTTGATCATGACATCTTCATCAGAACCATTATTTATAAAATACGTAATTCTAGAAGAATCTATTCTTACAATTGATACATCGGATAAACATTGGCTCGCTTCTGAAGCATTTTTATCAAATGAAAAACTTAATGTTAAAAAAGTTGATGACATTAACAAATTTGTATATAATCCATTACTTGATTTAAAAGCTCAAAAAAAAAAAATAATATCTTTTTAGCCGTTTAAAATCATGACATGGAAGATGTGAAAGTGATCTAACTATTGATGATGTATGAGATACAATACTCAAAAGCAAGAGCTTATAAACCCCCCCCCCCTCATATTAAAAGACCCAGAGTCTTGTATAATGTTTAAGCGGAAAATTTTTTTAGGGGGGTCTTGTATTATGACTCTCGTATTTTCGCGATTTTTTTAGAAACTCACAATTATTTTCGAAGAATTTAGTAAGTGCAAGTTTAAGTACAAGTCTTACGGCTCCTCAATTTTTATTATAGTAATCAGATGCTGGGAAAAACATCACCCACACCCTTCCCACAGCAACAAACAATAGGAAGTAATTAATATCAACGGCTATCTTATTTTATAATCTGTAATTTCTAATTTCTCTTCTAAATATTATGCTTTTAAGTTTTGTAAAACTCACATATATTTTCGAAGGAACTAACAGTGATCGTAGGTTTGAATCAAGATTTTTCAGCTTGTTCCCTCTTCCCCATTATATGTCGTAGCAATCATTTAGATTTAATACCCGTAGAATAAAAAAATGAAAACCAATGGTTGCTCTCAGGTAAAAAAATTTAAAAAGTGGCGTTTTCCATGATGAAAAGGGTATAATCATGCATGTTTCTTATTTTCATTGATTAAAATCAAAATTTTTACCATTCTCGTTTCATGATTTTGATTTCTAATCATTTTCATTATAATGATCTTGATTAGAAATCAAAATCATGAAATGTAATTCATGAAACTTTCATTTTAAACGATGAAAATACAAAACATGTATGATTATATCGCTTTCATTATGAAGTATGGCTTTTTTTTCGTTTTTCTATTCCCTGGGAAGGTTGTGAAAACTTCTACAATCATTGCTTTTCAATAGTTCGAATATTTTTATGAGCATTCGCAAAAAGCTAGCCTCCTTTTTTGCGCAGATAAAAGTTTATACTATCCATTTGAAAGATAATCTTTTGTGATTTTTCATAACGGTAGTATAAGTTATATAAAATCGTGATCAAACTACTTTCTAACTTTTAGAAATATTTATTTTGTGTCTTATTCAGTACATTAGTATGCATACAAGATTGTTAGAATATGGCGAAGATAGACCCAATGTCTATACTAAGATTATTTAATCATTAAATTAGAGCTTGAATGGAATAATACGAAATAATGATAATATCGATTAACAGAAGAATAACACATATTGCGAATGGCAACAGGAAAAGAAACGCATTAGAGAAAAAATATGTTTGAAACGTACGAATAGAAACTACTAGAAATTAATCATTATGACCAATGTTTTTTTTGAAGTTTAACATTCAGCGTCGCTTGTCATAATATTATAAATATATTCAGGAAATCTGATAACTGGAATGAAGGAGAGATAGGAATTCGAAATGAAATAGTTTCTTCAGAATAATGTTTTACAGCGTATGCTGTAACTCAAACGATAGAATTAATTGTAATCTATCCATTTATTTGATATGTTTTGAAAATAAACCTTTTCACTCATTTTTGAGAATATAATATAGATTTGTAGCAGTCTGAGTCTAATGAGTACTACACTTTGGCTCCATAGTGACTACATTGATAAGTTTTTGTAATTAAAAAAGTCCTCGGAGAGAATCGAAGCGATTTTGAAAATTGGAGAAAGAATTTTCACGATTTTCAAAGCTGAAATATAGAGTTTAACTCATCAATTTGAAAATTTTCAGCTGAAAACCTCCAGAAATAGACACGTTTCGGGGTAAAACATTAATAAAAATCCTCAATTTAAAAAAAAAAATCTTAAATAAATAGGGGGGTCTTCTATTATGTGGGACACGATTTTTTCCCAAAGGGGTCTTCTATTGTGGGGATTTCGAGATTAAGGGGGGGGGGGGGGGTTTACTTCAAAGCCAATATATTGATTACTTCGTCTTATACATTTAAAAAAAACTTTTCGTCAAACTTTTCATATCGATTGTTTTTCTCTGTCTGACAAGAACGAAAAAAGAAACAACAACATTGGCAATTTTCAACGATATGTATTCTATCGCGCAGTTACTTAAGTAATTAAAAATTTTAAAAACACGGAATAATCAAACCACTTTAATACGATTTTTGTATAAACGTGAAAAATACTCAAAAACTTTGAATCATCATTTGAAAGGTTTTCACCGAAGAAGATCTGGAATCTGGAACTC